AATACTTTTCACACAGTCACTAAATAAAACAATCAAACCCAATCACACACAAATTAACATCTGGCAGACACACACCTTGACCAGTTCAAAGGGGAAGCGTTCATGGAAGATGCGATTGATCCTGGCACCACCTGATAGCTCAGCTGTGTCAATCTGGTCCCCAGAGCCCTCTATACACTTCTCAAAGTCCACGGAGAACTGCTGCACCATCCTGTAGAGAGGCAGAGGCAGATATCAATGAATCTATTAGTCTGTATCTATCTAGTTGTCTATCCTGTTCCTGTATCATCCTGTATCCTGTACTCACTGGAGCAGAGCCTTGGTCTTGCGAGACGGATCGTCAGGTCTGAAGTTCTTGTACTCCTCCACCTCCTTCTCTATGGAGAGAAGCTGACTCTGCAGCTTGGCCCGCAGAGCCGGCAGGGTGTCCCGGATGTGGTTGGTCAGTTGCTGTGCAGGTCAAAGGTCAGAGTTAGATCGTTGGGAATACAGGGAAAGTTGTAATTAAACCAGGTGTCGCTGGAAAATACAGGACATGTTCACACTTGCTCATTTACAAACCTGATTGAGGATTTTCTGGAGGTAAGGAGTGCCCATACGGTCGGCCAGGTGTCTATATGCAGGGTGGGAGAGGAAGAACTTCCTCTCAGCGGCCATTGCAGCGTTGATGTCCTTCCTGCCATCTATGTCCTTCTGGCTCCTGTTCACCACACCAATGTAACCTGGACACATCAGACAAGAGTCCCTCAGATATTTACGACCCAGTCTCAAAACACTGTGAGATTTTCAGAAAACCAGATTCAACTCGTTTTATTACTTCCTGGAATTTTTAAGATCAGAGTGGATCAGATTCAATACTTGTGGCCTGACTTGTAATTTGACTGGAATATAGTATAGTATTGCATTAGAGCAACCTGGGATCGTGTTCTCTTATTTTCTACATATGAACTGTGTGTGAACAGCCAACAGCCCCTGCAGGACCAAACCGCTTTAAATTGTGTCTAATAATGTTTAGCTCAGACATTGGGGTTAAAGAAAAGTCTATAGACAAAGGACGAATAGAGGAAAGAAAGGAAGGAAGGAATTACATGAATAATTGTCTGTATGTGTGTGTCCAAGTTTCTAAGACGTAAAGAGAAAAAGAACAACCAGGAGAGTTCAGGTCACGCGGATCCCATTTCACCTCCAGTTAAGTTTTCTCATGCATCACTCGGTTAAAGGCTGTTTCATGCTCTATAACTAATGCAACTGTGAGCCAGCAGCCTTGTAAATGTGAACATCCACATCTTTAGACAGAGAGAGAGCGAGAGAGAGAGAGAGCGAGAGAGGGAGAGCGAGAGAGACAGGGAGAAAAAGAAGGGGAGGGAAAAACATAGAAAAAACAAAGGACATGGAAAATATTCAAAAGCACATGCCTGGGTTCTAACCAAGTGCAAATGGAAAAAGAAAATCACCACATCAGCACATTGCAATAAAGGGCAGCTCACAAGATACATGCAAGCACTTTTCCAAGACAGTGTTTTTCTCTTTGCCCCTTCCCTGCTTCTCCTTTCCAACTCCCTCTGTCCCCTTTTTCTGTTTTTGTTTTTTTCAGTGCTGGGAGCATTGAACATCTTTGCGTACAACTGCCTTATTACCACAAGAGGGAAACAGTGTGTCAACGCAAAGGGCCCTGAAGTAGAGCAAACCAGTACTGCTTGTGAGGGTGTGTAGGTATTTAAGAGTGCTCACCCCTCCTGAGTGGAAGCAGCTTATTCTCCAGGATGTCCTTAGCATCTGTCCCCTCGTCCATCAGGTCCAGTTTGGTGATCACACCAATGGTCCTCATACCTACATGTACACACCAGAGTTATTATAGTTTTGTAT